TGCTGATGCCTTCCAACTCCTCTACCAGCGAAACGTTGTTTCATTCTTTCCGAAGATCTCCCCCACCCTACTAAGCGGATCCTACGGGTGTTTCTTCCCACAGTCGTCCCGGGCCACGTTCCACAGAACACCGGGTTCCCAGGACGAACGATAATCGTTTGTTGGGTTTCTACTTTCTTTCGGAGTTCCTGACACAGATCTTTCGGCCTTCTTGCGGGGAAAGGATGATTAGGATGCTGGTGATCGGTATTTTCAGTTTCAACGGTTCGTCTACTGATGGTTGTCCGATAGCTCGGATTTCTTCATCAGTTTTGCCGATAATAGCGGTTACTAGACCGTGGATCTTTATGCTAGCATTAAATTTATGAGTCGATTCAGGGAAATTGGAGTCCGCCGAATAGAATATAATAATTGAATAAAATAATGTAGATACATCTTCGTCCCTTTGCTTCACTTCGTTTTATATTATCGCGATAAATGCATAAAATTTGCTGGCTAGCGAGTCGGCAAAAAGTTTTTGGCAACACAGCAGTTTCTTCGGAAATTCTTATTTGCTGCCTTTAGACGTAGCATCGACGAGCTTATTAATACGAAAACCACCGATCGGAATTACAGGCTTGTATAGTCTTGCAAAAATTATAAAATATTATATTTACTGTTTGAAATTACAGTACATTCGTAAATAAATCAATATATCCAATATTTTATGCTTTCGATAACGTTACAGAAGGAAATCTTTCTAAACCTAAACCAATAAAGTGAGTCACTTAAATTATTTAATAGTTTTAGAGTTAATAAATTGCTGGTAGATGAAATACAGTGAGCAATCGTGAATAATGGTGAATAACTGGGGATAATAGTGAATAATCTGTTAATCTTGCTTTCTAGTTATCGAAGTCCTAGAACTAAACGATCATTGACATGTGGCTCGTTTGTTTCCAGAAATGCTCGGACTATAAGGCCTCGAAGGTGAACACGTTCGCGAGGACCGAGCCGCCGGACACGCAGGTGACGAAGTCGGTGATCGCACTGCTGCTTCACTATGGCTGGAACAAATTCACGATCATCACGGAGATCGCTTGGTCGACGGTCGCCCGTTCCCTGGAGGAACAGGCGACCGTGAACAATCTCACCGTGAACCACTACAAAACCGTCGAGGACCGGCACACGTGCTGTGAGGAGATGCTTCCATGCTGCCAAGGCAGCGTATGGTTCCAGCTTATACAGGAGACTAAAAATATGACCAGGAGTCAGTCTAACTTCCATATAGCTCGGGGCGATCGGATCTTCCGGGCTGCCGCCTAAACGAGTTTCCTTTATGAGCCCCTTAGAAATATCGCTGATCGTTTCAGAATTCCCACCGATTTTCCGGTTTCATTAAATCGAATGACATCGTTTTGACCTACATAAATTCACCAACAGTAGTATTGATCAGTAATAATGTTAACCGTCAGTACAATGCAACAGTACTAAAGAAAATATTAGGAAAAGTAATTCATTCATATCGGAAAAAGTGACTGTGATATAATACCCAAAGTCGCTGTTCATAAAAGTTTCTATCAATTAAAGGTATTGTTGACTTAGAAATTGATGATGAAATCAATGAATGTAGTCCTTAATTTTCGTCTCTGGTTCACTGAAGATCCGATCTCCACCGTTTCGAATCGCTGACACACGACCAGCATCGGTATCCAGACCGGAGCTTGTGAAAACACCCCGAAGAATTTATCAGTCGCACGGTTTAGTGATTCATGCTCGTAGAACGCTCGATCTTCGAACGATCTCGGCCGCTCAGACTTCATACGTTACAGTTCACCAGTTCCGTATCGACCATTTCCGCGCGTTTCCCTCACGGTACACTCAAGCCACGGCAGTTCCGTTCGATGATCTCATTGATTATAATTAGATCGTGGATTTTTATATATGTCCGTATTGCTCACGAATGTGAGAAACACGATAAATATAAAATGGAATTAAATTTTATATTGTTTTTACATATAAAGAGGCATATTAACCCCCCTTTTCCATTCGCGTAATGGTTCGCTATAAGATTGCGACAAAATTAAAACCGCATTTACGGAATTTATACTTAAAATATATGAAATCCATTTCCTATGAAACAAAGAGAATTAGTGGAATCCCCCGTCCCAGAATATCAAGCCGGATTTGTAAAAAGGAAACTTTAAATCAAGTTTAATAAATATAAAGATCATTCGTTTCCATTAAGTCCCCATGAAATATTATTAGAAATCAAACGGCGGGAGGGGGGGAGGGAGAAATATCGTTTCACAGTTAAAATCGTAACAGAGAAAGCAGTAAATTTCTATTTAATCCCAATCTTCATAAATTACGCCGAGGAAACTCGATTTTGCGCGAAGATCTTATCGAGCAGAACAGCCGTGGTGATTTTCTAACGACAGCGGAGACACAAACGTGAAAGTCAGTTTCGTTCTGGAAATCGGTCAGCCTGTAGTGTCCAGGCGCATTTCGATCCTCTGCTGCGTCCGTGGCCCAATAACGGTGAACCATGAACCTGTCCGCAGTCTACATATTCCTGGGCACGCCGATGTCACTTATCGACATGATGAACGCGATGCAGAACCAACGGCTGCTGGACAACGGGGAGTACATGGTGATACACGTGGACATGATGACGTACTCGCCGCGCGAGGCGTCCAAGTACTTATGGAGTGAGTACGAGACACCGACCCGAACGACTCGTGAAATCCGATTGACCCGATTACCCCGGCACCGGGGTTCGGTCTGTTCCTCGCGGCTCCTTCGCCGGAACACACCGTTCCCTCGTTACTCCGTCATTTCCGTGTCTAATCCCCCGATTAGAGCTGAACGCCGCCACGAGTCGGGCCCGAGAACGTCGGCTCATGACCCAGTTCGTTCGGCGGTCGCTCGCTCGCTCGCGACCATGTTTTTCAAAGGTCGCGTTCCCCCCGGTTAGCCCCTCGTGAAAAACCTTCCGTTTCCTGACGCAGCCGGTAGCTGGATGGTCTTTCGATTCCAGAACCGGAAAACTACAACCAACGCAACTGCTTGGAACCGAAGGACTTCCTGAAGAAAGCTCGGTCCTTGATGGTGGTGGTGTCCACACCGCCCACGCAGAACTACGAGGAGTTCACGAAGAAGGTTCGCGAGTACAGCAGCAAGGAGCCCTTCAACTTCGTCATCCCCGAACTTCTGAGGAAATACGAGAAGGTATTCGATACCTCCCACTCTATCCCTGTTTGTTCGCGGTAAAATCGTTGGATGAAATCTAACAAGCTGAAAATCAATGGTTCGTGCTTCTCCGTTTCCAGTATGTCTCTATTCACGCGGCGTACCTCTACGATTCGGTGAAGCTGTACGCGCGGGCGCTGGATCAGCTGCTGCGCGACCAGCCGAAGCTCACGCTCGAGGAGATCGCGAGCAACGGCACGCTGATTATAGAGACGATTATCAGGAATCATACGTATCAAAGTAAGTACGTGTAATCCGGGACCGGGTGCAATTCGAGTTGCGAGGATAGATACCGTCGGGAATAGATAGGCATGAAGTGGCAGTACTCAGTAACGATCAACGGCCCAATAACAGCGGATTCGATTAACAATCCGGTCAACGGTTTGTTTACACAGTGGCTTTCATAATTGATCTCGATCTTTGGATCTGAATCACTTATTATCCAGAATATTTATTGTCTCGATGATCTATTAACTATTGTCGAGATTATTTATTGCCTACATCATCTAAATTATTCAGATTATCTAAATAGCCTAACCCTTCTGTCGGAATGTAATTATCTCGAAAATAGGCAGTGACAGAAGTAACAATTCGCGTTTCCCGATAGGTGTCAGCGGCGCGACGATCAAGTTCGACAAGTTCGGCGACTCTGAGGGGAACTTCTCGGTGCTGGCCCTAAAGAAGGACCCGTTTCGTTTCAACAATTTCTCCTGTGACTATCAGATGAAGCCCGTAGGCCAATTCCAACAGGGTGAAAC